GTGTTGTATCTTGTTAAAGCAACACCCCCAGCAGAAGTCGTGTCGAAGAATCTATTCAGTGGGTGGGATAGAGTAGCCCACGAGTATCACAGATGTGCCGTTGTCGCGGCTCGAAAGTGCGCGACAATGGCGCTAGGGTCTTACAAAGTCAGCTTTTGGCGACTAATCTTAGCATTTGGACGAGTTACGTCGCGCACACCCCATGACACACAACTGGATTACGGCGTAGCGGCTAATTCAAACGCGTGGTTTAAATGAGCCGTGGAGTTCGAACAACTCGTCTGGCCTGCCCCTTCCTTTTTCAGGGACAATTTTTGTTTTGGGCTTCATCGACGGTTTTCTTTGCTTCTTTTTTCATTTTTAGTCAATTCGCATCCACAACTTCATCATCCCGCTGTAACCCCACAAATTCGATCTGGGGGTGTTGCTTCAAAGGAACATTCGTGACTGAACAGGTAGGGGTAATGCTCTCAAAAGGAAGAAAGCTGTGGCAATCGATCTGCCAGCGATGAAAGAAAGAAAAAAAAGCTGCTAAGAACCCTCAAAATCGCGTTGTTCGCATGAACGGGGTTTGCGCTGCACTCCTATGAAGGTTTCTCATTGGTTATCCGTTCCCCTGATACATATTGTGAAGTAGGATAGGGAGACGGAGCCATCCAATGACATCCCTCAGGAGCCTGGGGCGAACCCTTCCCATACGATAGGCCATTTGAAGATTTGAAATTATCTTGCTTTCTCCCGTCACTGGTAGACTAATCATCTCAGTTATTTTGAATTCTTACGAAATAACCTGAACATGCTCAGTCGCGGGATATGTCCGCCTGTCCGTCTGTCAAAATTGAATTGAAGATCTTTTCCCAAAACGCTCTCAAAAATACCCGAACCAGAACCGCGGATTTTTTGATATATTGGTGGACTTTGTCACTTATGTAGGCCTAAGCAAAGTCACGATTCTTTCGCTATGGAGCACATACCAATTGAAGGTACGTAGCATCATGCTTGGTTCCACTGGACCAATTTGCCGAAGCTTATTCATGTAGAAGGGTTTGAACGCTTCTTTAACAGCTTTCGCTAGGTACTCATAGATCGCCTTTACCCGTCTGGCTAGAAGACTAACTATTTTGTGAGACTCACCAACTAAACTGCAGTCGGATTCAATGCAGGCATTGGTGATGGAAGCAACCACCTCTCTGGCATGTTCTCTGTTCAGTCGCCCGGTAACGTAGTAGTCCACGAATGCGATCGGAGCAGCACAGTGACAAAGAACGTCATTGACACACATACCAACAACGTCGTAGCCAATACTTGAATAGTCGTTCAGAGCATCAGCTATCTGAAACGGCATACTTCGGACCAACATTTTTCCCCATCGGCAGAATAAGAGCTCATTCTGAAGTGAGGAAAATCAGCTACTCGTAATGTTCCCAGACATACCTCAATTTTAGTTCCAACTCCATCTATTCCAATCACTAACTCTGCACCATTGAGATAGCCCGCTCTCTTAACATCAACGACAGCCCCAAAGCCACCAATCTGAAGGAATGTTTCGTGAACTTCAGTGAGAAATGGAGTATGAGGGTTGGGGAATTTGTCTAGCAAATTTATTCCAAGGACAGGTGCATGTCGACCAGTTATCGTTCAAAATGAAAAGGAAAGAAAAGCTGCTGAGAGACACAATATTAAAGGAAAACTAAGGAAATGGCCTAGAACCTGCAAAGCGGGAATCCTGTGTTCCCCGTTCGATTCGGGTTGAGTCACTATAAGGTGTTTAGTATAACGTGGATGCTCTGATCTCCCACACGGCTAGAGTCGAGACGAGGAACGACCAGCTGAGGGTAGGTGAGTTAGGAGGGGAATATGTCACTGAGGATAGGTGATGAACACATAAACACGATCCGCTGCGGATCGCCACGTTTCCACGGCGAATAAGCCATGTTATCGCTCCTCTGGGCGCAGCTCCAATGTATATTAGACCCATTCCCCAGAATCCGAACTTATGTGCAGCATGGCCGTAATAAGGGATGGGGTCTAACAGGAGTGCTTTTCGAAATGCTTACTTGTTGTTTTTGTAGTGGCTCATGTGAGGAAATCAGTACTATGGTCCATTTTTCCTGAACGCCCTTAGGAATATCAAAACAGCGGACAAGAAACAGTCCAAAGTTCGATCCTCTGTCATGACAAGGTTGGTTTGCACATTATGCGCATTCGGTTTTGAGCGAATAGATGTTGTTGCGTTTTGCGCATGCAAAACACAACAATGACATCTATTCTCGACGATGGCGCCATTTGGCGGCAATCTGGGGCGCCAAACTATATTGCAAAAATTAGTCATCACCGGGGATCGAACTCTGGACCATTTCTTCACCACTGTTTTGACATTCCTGGAGGCGTTCAGGAAAATGGATCATGTTCTGTGTTCCTCGCATGACCCCTACAACACGAGTATTGAAAGACCTCCTTTGTAAGAAGGCGGGGTCCGCAGTACATTTTTGAACCGAGGTGCACGCTTCACTACCCGTACACCTTCGATGATCGTAGAACACTTACCTGAGTCCTTTATTGGATTGCAAACGTTCCCGAAGATTCGCTCATTGAGTTCCGCAAAGAGAATAAAATGCGAATATATGGCACGTAGAGCGAGTGCTACTCTTTCGATAGCTTCTGCTCCCATTTTCGGGTCACTAAGAGGTTTAGAGGTGAAGTGTAAATTTTTAGTGAGCCTCACATAATTTAGATCACTCTCCGACCTTCCGACTGAGCTGTGCTCATTTCAGGGAAGTTGGCACGCTTTAGACACTGCTTACCTCCACCGTGTTTTCTTTTCAGGTGTCTGGGTTGTCTAAGAACCAGGTTGCAAATTCGTTTAGTAGCACCGCCCATTCACAAGACGCTCCGCCCACGGTATGTGGTTCCCCTTTACCTCATTCATCAACCCGCTGCTCAAATTTGTCCACTGGTCTAGTAACTGGTCTGTCCTGGAGATAGATTCGTGGAGTTCTGTCTATTGCACCATCCATTTCAATGCATGGGTTGGGTCAAGTTCATTATTCTATACATCTTGACTTATGTCCCACCAATCCCAAATTTAGCCGCTCGACAGGTAATACGCCCACGCTATGGCTTTTCAAGCTACACTTGGATGAACTCTGATGGTAAGGGATTGATCTGAGAGATTTTCAGACAACACCTGGGCTAAGCCATGCGCTTACCTGCTCCGTACCCTGTTTCAATGTGGATTTCACCAAGTCCTTGATATCACTCACAAACGCATTCCCCTCACTGATGTCAACTCCAGAGTCACCGTACGTCAGTGACTTGAAACAGCTAAAAGCAGTACATAAATATCAGTGGTTTTATAGTAGAAAGACAATGTAGCAAAAATTTCTTAATGAGTCTTCTTTCCTTGAAAAGAACTCTTTGTTCTGGGAGATATTATATGATTTGCATTTGATTTCTGGTTTAGCCCGAGCAGAAAAGGCACTAACCTCTGCCTATCTAGTCCTATATCCCTACGGAAGAACTTCCCTTCGAAGTGGATGGCGTCGCTAGCGCATATCGCCTCGAAACGTGCTTCAGATGGAGTGTCCCCACTGGTACAATCAGATTTCAGTATTTTGCTGAATAAACTGTGACGCCCTTAAGTATAAGAACACCTTTTCCGTTCCGGAGACTGTCATTGTTCCCTGGCTGAAACACGAACGCGTTCTCGTTGGAAGAGCTCAGGAAAATCTAAACAAAGTAGAAATATGTGGACTAGCAAGGCATCCGAGGCCATTGTGTAACCACCATAGTCTTACCATAGTGCTTTAGACATCCCAAATAGTTACTATGCTTCAAAACGCTCTACCAATGGGTGTGCCTTTGTCGCCAGAATACGGATAGTTCTTGCTTGCAAGCACAATGCCACAAGCATGTCGATCATCCCATTGAATATCTACCTCAGAAAGCGTACCACTGATGGATGCCATGGCAGATTTTGTAAAGATCAGATTTGAGCAATCTCATGATAATCTGAAAGGAAAAACTGCATTTCTAAGACATATTACTGAGAGATGAGAAAAGCTTGGAGGGATGAGGAGAGGAAGTAATGTCAGAATAATCACGGCTAGTCTGTTTATCTGCTGGAGAAAGTGCCAAGAAAAGGGGCTCGGCTTCGAAGCAGCCCGCAGTAGCACGTTGAAGGCAGCGAAATTCGCTAGTATTTCTCCATGAAACCGTCGAAAGACAAGTTTATGATGAATAAGAACGAGCACTGTACACATCTCACCTCAGTTTCAGGATCTCCAAAACGGCAGTTGTACTCCAAAAGCTGCGGCCCATTCGTCGTGACCATGAGACCAGCGTAAATTACCCCTGAATTCTCACAGTAACTGCTCAAAGTAATCTTTTTGATGAAAGCTGATGTCATCTTATGGGCAACAACACGCTTGATTTCGCAGTACCTCGATTCACATGAAATCAACACTTCAGCGCAGTTGTGTGTTGTATGAGAAAATTGAAAAGTTCGAAATTTGTGAAAATTTGAATTGGAAAAATTGCTACTGAGCATTACAAAAAAAAAGCGTTCGTGGTTCGGGTGGAGGGGGGGGAGGGGCAATCAGTGAGCGAACCAGTTTATAATTACTTGGGACTCCAGGAGAGAAAGGAACTCCGGGATGAGAATGGTGAGCAATTTCCTGCTGGCTTCTAGCCTTCCCAGGGTTAGCCCTATGTCACGCTTTAAGGTGTGTTTCAATGCTTCTATTCCGAATGCCGCCCACCGGTCACGAGGCGGCAAATGAAGAATAGCATGTACTGTACATGAGAACGGTATTCACCTTTATAGATGATGCCTTCCTTTCGCAACGAGGCCACCGTCTTCTCGAGTATACGGTCAATTTCGCGGTCCACGATCTTCGGAACACTCACGGGTGCGACAACGCCCATTCCACCTTGAAAGGAGAAATTTTAGCATTCCTTTATATCAACTGCTATAGTCACTTTCAATTTTTAAGTTACGCCTGTCCTTTGTTCCTCCTTTCTTTTCACATTTCTTTCCAATGAATTCAGTAACAGAACCGCCATCGATTTATAGCATCGACACGCTGGTGCTCTGATAGCTCTTTCGCCTTGTCGTAATATTAGGTCAAGTTCTTAGAATGTCTGTCACTATTGGCTTGTACTTGTTGTGAGAATCAGTGTCGAGAACTGAATGTACCCAGCTGCCAGTGCGCTGGGCCTGTACAAGCCGAAAATGCATCGACGTATCGTCGCCAAATTCTCGACTGCACTTTCCTGTCTACTTCTGCACATAACTGGGAGGGCCATTTAGAAGGAAAACAATAAAGCCAGAAGGACAAGATAATGCGGCCGTTTTCCTCGTTAATGAAAACTTGACGGAAATATTCCATAGCAGAGTCCCTCTAAAGCCTCCTTTGCCATTGAGACACACATCTACGATTTTTTGCCTCTACACCTTACTGTACAATGGAAGTGATACTGGGAGGAAGAGAACGAGAATGGGGAGCAGCCATGCACTTCATTCAGTAGAAGGTACGTACGCACGATGTGTAAAACATGAAAGGATAGAGCATTTAGCGCTCACCAAACCACAGCAAGCCTCGTAAGCCCCCGAGCCAGCTCCTGGGTTCGTGTTTAGATCAAAGAGGTTCCTACTAGGCTCGGTGGCTCGTGGTTCTAGGATATATACAACGACTCGAAAACTTTCTCCATGGCGCTCTATTATAGAAAAAAAAAACCATGTAGAACGCACTGTTTTTCTCTCAAGTCAGCTCAACATATACAATCTATTGAGGCCTCATGGAGCTCCATCCCAGCAGAAAAAACCTCTTTTTTAGACTATTTGAAGCAAAGTCAATCGGTTGTGAAATAACTTATTGCATGTGTGCCATATCTTGTCTGTGACTGATCAATAAAATGAATAAATAAATAAATAAATAAATAGAATATAAATAAATAAATAAATAAATAAATATAATGCATTTGTATACGCCATGCATACACATGTCCATCGCAGTCGTAATGGCGTTTTGAATGTGATTGGCCTATACATGGTACTGGTGGCCTCAACTCTACTGAACCTCGCGCAATGCTTTTTCCAACTTGCATTGGGAATGAATCTGGAATAGGCGCAAATCTTTCACCACACACATTTTCCGCACTTCACCAGATTCAATAAATAGCAGTCCATGACTGATTGATAATTGAGCCCTGCCAAATATACGACCCCTTTCCTTCTCACTGCTGACGTGGGTACCATACATCTGGCAGAAAGTCTGAGAGCTATCAATTTCCCGGAACCTACCTACCAGGCCTTCTTCAAGAGCTAATCCCTGAACTACACAACGGGAACTTCTTTACCCACATCAGTTGGGCGTAGGATCGAATATTTTTGACCAAGTTAGTGGTGTGGAACTCAACTTACCAGTATTTGGTCCCATGTCGTTCTCAAGTAAACCTCGTGTGTGATGCGCGACCTAAGCGCAGGTCGAGGCGATTGAGGCTGCATCGTAAACAGAGCGCTCTGAGAAACTGCCGTATCGAACTTTGCTCCACAACGAATTCTGAGCTGTGACCTTACCGAGACCTCATACCCATGGAGCCGCTCTTCCAACAGAATTCTTGCACTGCTCGAACCGTACTGACCCTGAAATTTGAAGTTTTATAACTCAGTTCTGTCCTCTGATCCTCCACCCCTCGTCGGGTCATTCTCTACTGTACCAAAAATACTTATTGAGAATCCCAACAACTCCTCTCCGCCTAGCAAAGATTTTTGTGAAAATGGAGGGCCCGACCGGACGGTCTGCCTAAAAATGCACCCATTATACGAAGTTATACGAGGCTCCGTGAAGCTCCATTGCAAGGCTCCACTGAATGGGAGGAACGAGGAAACAGAAAAAGAGGGTAAGTAAGAGAAAGTCGGTTGCGTAGCGCCACGAGAGTAAGGGCTGGCAGCGGACTGATCAGAAGCAGTTACGTAATTATAAGGCAAATTCCCAACCATGTAACCAGAGTGAGGAAAAGAAAGCTGAAATCACCAAGCAGATAACTTGTCCAGCTTCTTTATACCCAAAATTACTTGGCAACAGATGTAGCGTGATGAGGAATTTATGGACCAACTTTTTTTTTACTTTCCATTATCATGAGCGCGGCACGAGCTCGCATACCACATTTTCTCCTTGAATATCAAAGATAAGGGTTTTTAGGGAAAGGAACACACATCAAAAAAATGATCGATGCATGGTTTGAAGGTAATGGAGGTCCGTTTTGTGAGATCGTCGCAATGAATGGGACAAAAAGCTCATTGCCCTAGATCAGCAGAATGAAAAAATGAGCAAGTAATGGAAGAAATGTAGCAGAAATTCAAGAGTGCTGGGTTATGAACTACCCTTCGCCCCAGACGAGACTCGAACGTTGCACCCCTGTTAAGCAATGGTAAATCTGCCATGAAAAGCTGAGTTAGGGCGAAACGGTGCCCCGGTAGCGTAACTTGTGGCGTAGTTGCCCGATAAGCGAGAGTGCGGTACGAGTCCTGCCTGGGGTGAAAGTTTTTACTAATAACCGCGCCTCTTGCGAAAAAAATGTAGAAAACTCACTGCGAGGAACTGCCGCGCTGCTGCCTGGTGCAGCCTCCCTTGTCATCCGCTCACGACAAAGCCCCTTACGCCACCAGACGTCAGCCATTCATCCACGATTTCCATCCGCAGTCAACCACTGAACTTCCGAAATAGTAACCGGACATCGGGAAGCCCGCTCGCAATGATATTTATGGAGCAAAATTCTAGTGCTGATCCCTTGACAACTTTTATCCATTGGAGTGTGCCATGCATCCCACTTTCATTTGGAGTTAAGCAAACGTTCCGCTGTAAATTCAGCGAGCGTAACGAGTCACCCTCACAGCATCCAATGCCACGTTGACAGATCGTCGGAGCCTCGCTGTTTTGGTGCAATCTCTGGATTTCGACGAGGACACTCCAAGGTGTTCGTTCCAGATATAACGTCCGATTGTTGAGGACGATATACACCAGAACTTGGAGAGTTGGCGACCCACCGATGCCCAGTCAGTGCTTCGGCTCCCCAGAATGGACGAGTTCTAATCCTTATTACAGGCTGGATTACACGAGTTGCTGTGTGGTTGCGATTCTTGCGGTCAGAATCATACAGACTCTATCGCGCGAGTCGCTCACCACGTTCTTTGGGTTAATGCTGAAGTTGCCGTTGATACGAACAAGAAAGTAGTGGGAGGGTTTACCAGTGGTTCTATATTCCCATTGTCATCTAGGTAGTTTCAACATGTCTACTGTAAGCTTTAAAGCAACCCCCAGCAAAGTCGTCTTGAAGAATCTAGTCATTAGGTGGGATAGAGTAGACCACGTGTAGAAAGATGTGCCGTTGCCGCGGCTCCAAAGTGCGCGACAACGGCGTGGCCACCACAAGCCTGCTTTGCAAGACCAGCATCTCAGCTCTTGGACGAGTTAACTCGGCTGCGTGGTGCTTGGGCGATTGCGTAGTGGTCCTGCGTGATTGTTAAACTGCACCGCGTTTGAAGGAATGTTCAATGTTTCTAGATTGGTTTTACTTGCTCAAATCGTTCAATTATAGATTTCATTGATTGTATTTGTGTCTTCATACGCATATGCTCTTTGGCACGAGCCAGCAGTGAATGCAAGCTAGTTCAGAGAACTCGTCCAAAACGCCCGTCCCTCATTTCAGGGAAAGGAGGGAGTTCTTGTTTGAGAGCCTCATCGGTGGTTTCCGAGCCTATTTTTTTTTTATTTGCTATCAACTAGGCATCCGCAGTTTCACTGTTGACCGCTTTTATCCCCAAATTGATTTGGGTGTGTCGCTTTAAGGGATCGAGCTCCAATTTCCTCTCAAGTTCTTTTTTGCTTCAATGGGACCGATAGGATCGGACATGAATAATAAAGTAGAGCATTTGAGCCGAAAGCAAACGGTCAGAGTAGCTGGAATGGTCGTCCACATCCTGCGTATGCTAAGCTCACTGCAGCGGGAATATCGGGAAGATCGCCTGTCTCCCAGCGGGGCTTAGAGACATTGATCAGACGGTTTGGAGCAGTGAATAGCGGTTGAGGCTTCGCGGCGCTAAAGGATGTAGTTGCGACCGCCTCCTAACGCCGTTCCACCATTGACGTCCAATGACGTCATCGGAACTACACGGCTCTCCAGCCATCGTGATCACCGTCTTTAAGTCCACGGGAAAATGAGCGAATAAGAGCGTAATAGTAATATGAGCATTTCCATGTCTATTTCATCATTTATGTACTCAAAACTCACTTTTCTATAAAGATCTCAGCACTGGCGATATCCGAAAAATATTCAAATTCTGCAGTTGGCAACCTGTATTTCTTCATGAAACATTTTCGAAAATACTTTGGAGGCCTGAAAGGGAAGGCATCTACTATTCACACAAAATTTTCACGGCAGTATCAAAAGTGGCACAAAAATGATTCGAGCTCAAAAATGACAGTAACCTCCAATTGGGCTCCAGCACGTGTTGGCCCGAAAACAGGCACTCGACCGTCAATTCTGTCAACCAGTCCGTCTGCCAGCGGTCCTTCAGGTCCTATTACTATCAGTGAGATGCTTTCTCGTTGGCAGAATTCAACCACTTCGTCTGCATTTGCTATGTCGATATCTGAACAGAGCTGATGAAAAAATTGCGAAGTAGATAAAATATATATTAATTCATTTTATATTATTAATTATAGTTAATTTTGAACTAGCGCTAATAATTCAGCACTTTCCATGCGATTTTAAGCACCACCTGCAAAACCTAGAAGCGTCAAATAAGTTACTAATCAAATGAATATGTGAGAAAAGTAGCCTGAATCTGACTTTCTCATACTCCTCGGTAAATAAAGAGTCAGGGACCCGGTGATAAAGCTGTTCAAGCCGCTTGGAGCAGTAGTTTGATGCGCTAATCTGTGCGTGAAACTGAAACTGAACTGGGTCTTAAGCAACTGCGCTTTTTAGGCGCAAGAAATTTACTTCCGTGACACTAAACTGGGATATCTTGACTTGTTTTTGTTTATTAACTACTGTTTTGGCGCGTTCGTGTTGCGAATGTTTAAAAAAAAGTAAAATGGAATAGGATTGTAAAAAGGGGGGGGGGGGGGGGGGGGGGCGCTTAAAAAACTTTTCGCTATAAAAAAGAAATGCGAATTTTCACAGCCCAGCGAGAGGTACAGCAAAAAGGTGGATCCCGGCTGGGTTGCATCCAAATGCTTCATGTATCAATTTTAAGTTAAGGCGCTTGGAAAATCGTTATTTCAATTTCCCTCGAATAAACTTGGCACCGAAATCACCTGGTATTTCGAAATCTGCTCCATTGCCCGGAGCAATCCATACTTTTTCCACCGACTCGGATCTCAACATGCGCCATGCTAGCGCATGTTCCTTCCGCCACTGCCGATGATGAGAACTGATGCCATCAGTGCAAATTTACTAAAACAACAAAAAGTTGTTCAGTAGGCGCTGAGCGAAAGAGCTTAGGTACTCGCTGACTTCAAAGAAACAGTGAAAGGTGTCTATGGCGTCAAGTGATGTACTTCATTCGCGAGTAAAATCAATAAAATCTTTCCGATTTACTTCTAAGGACGGATCCGACCGCCATTTTCCGTATGTTCTGCTCAATAAAATAAAGAAAAGGCGCCAACATAATCGTCAGGAGGAAATCAACGCAGAAAGATTCACAGAAAAACTGAGTAATGGGCCTCAATTCTTGTACGTCTACCAGGTCGCGCAGAGACACACCGAGGCGGGAGAAACCAAAAGGAGAGAGGGCACGTCGTAAGAGAGGGCGCAGACACCGCTGTGGTGACAAGTATGGGGTAGTGGTCACAGAGGTTAGGTAGCAAATTTGTCGCGCAATTTCGACTCGCAGGACTGTTGCTGCAGGAAACCAGCTGTCTTACTCAGCTAGAGAATTGATCTGAAGGTCCAATCCTGACCCGTGCCTTTAAACAGCCGCAACAGTGGAATAAGGTTTGTGCAAGCTGTGTATCAGAAGATCACATGCATGGCCAGAGCTCGAAGTGTTAAGGTAAGTTTCCCAAGTAAACTTTGATCATAGAGTTAGAAAACTTGGTGCATAAATAGCAGACATTTTTCATTGCAAACATTACTACCATTCAATTGATGTGCTCGATAGTGCTTCTATCCCAGGGCTTTTTCGGATCAAGTTACTGCCAATCCGGCGGAGACGTGGCACAATGGCTAGATATGAGTGATGCCGAGAAAGACCTGTTCAACACGGCTGAACCTTTCACCTTCGGCTATGGCTCATTGGTGCCAGGGATTCTATACCGGCTAGTAATTATATTGTATTTCACTGGAATTCATGATTATAAAAAAGGACCCCGTTGACGTCATTTTGAAATGCCTCATGCGTTTGATTTCAGTTCAGAAATGTAGCGGAAGTTCAAAGGGGTAGAAAATTCGATGCAATGAATTTCGGGGCAGCCAATCAGAAACCCTTCGATTTTGATCCTCCCAGGCAATACCGACTAACGACTGCAGTGGAATCTAAACGTGCGTTTGGCCTGGGCCATGGCCTAGGAAACTCAACCCAAGATTCACCCACCGGACCATGCGAGAGGTATGCGGCTCCACATACCCTGAACGTCTACGTTTCGATAGCCTACATTTTTTTAACTATTCGAAGGACTGTTTTCCCTAGTTCCCGAACTGCCTCGATTTGAAACCGGCAAACTCATGGCGAAGCAGCGCATAATGGCGTACACAGGCTTCACGGGCAATTACAGGAAGAGTCAGAGCAGCTTCCAATCCATTTTGATAAAGACCCAAAAGTTTGATAAAGACCCTAGCAGAGTAAGTACTTCGTAGTACACATGAAAGACTACCGCTGAAGAAAAACTCAGGAACAAAGTAGATATCGATGAATAAATTAAGAACGAAAAAAAACAATTATTAACGAATAAAAGAAATGGTTCGTTTCATTCCTTTCCTCAGACGAACAGCAAAACTTCTTGTGGTAACAAAAATAAAAACTGAGAGCAATAAACAGCCGAAAAGTTATTTCTTGAGAAAAAATCAATGTTCATATGAGTACCACCAGGAGTTTTTCGAGCGAACGATCAAAAAGAGGCCTGGTCACAGAGCAACTATGATGAGCGACAGATTCCCGTGTTCTTACACAGCTCCTGAACGACAATTCATAGAAGATGAAGAAATGGGAGCTCCTGGCACGTTGCTGCCTAATTAGACATTAACATGGGTTTCCCAATTGTTGGTCTAGGAACACCTCAAACATGTCACGGCAGTGCTGACCTTCCTTGATTAGGTGGGCATGATGAGGTTGATCTATATCCTGTAGTGTTATCTTATCCTTTTGTAGCATAACCAATCTGACATGTACATGATCCTTAGATCCCCATGGTCATTGATTAGTCCACAATCAATCAGAGTTTCGTGGATGTTGTGACTGAGTTTTTCGATGCAAAACCTCAGAGGAGGACTACCTGTTTTCACAACAGTATTTCTTCGTTGGGGCGGAAGTGGTGTAGTGACAAGTGGCGCGCTTACCACGCGAGCGGTCCGGGGATCAAATCCTGGGTCGTGAGTCGCCCGGGCCAACCAAGCCTTCCATCCCTCCGGGGTCGGTTAATTGGTACCAGACTTGTCTGGGAGGAAAAAACACTGACTTGAACATCGGCTGGCCCCCGCAAGTCATTGTATAGGTACATCGGCTGGCCCCCGCAAGTCATTGTATAGGCCACATCGCATTCAAACGCCACTACGAATGTACAAATGGAAGTAGAATGCGTGCCGCATCCCAAAAAGGGATTGATCAACGGCAAATGCTTTATCCTTTATCCTTTATTTCTCTGTACAGTGTTATAGTTCGCATAAAACGCACTAATCTCGAAGATCCTGCGACATAGGTCGGAGAAGGAACTCTCGAAAAGACATGAATCAGAGATCAAAAATTAGTTCAGTAGGCTAGCGAGCCAGGGTAACCTAAGCAAACATTCAATCTGGTCTGGGTGTGGGGTATTCGAGCATCATAACTTTTACTTGCAGAAAATGCCGTATATAATTAACCAACATATTTTATAATTTCGGGGGCGGAAGTGGTGTAGTGGCAAGTGGCGCGCTCACCACGCGAGCGGTCCGGGGATCAAATCCTGGGTCGTGAGTCGCCCGGGCCAACCAAGCCTTCCATCCGGGGTCGGTTAATTGGTACCGGGCAGCATAAAACAGAGGAGCATGAAACACTAACTTTCCTGGGAGCATAAAACACTTTTACAGACCCCGCAAGTCATTGTATAGGCCACATCGCATTCAAATGCCACTGCGAATGTACAAATGGAAGTAGAATGCGTGCCGCATCCCAAAAGGGATTGATCAACGGCAAATGCTTTATCCTTATTCTTTATTTTGTCATTTATTTTTGATCATTTTCATAATACACCTACTATAGAGCGTACGTACTGAAGGTGATGCTGTGATGTTTACATTTCTCAGTGGAGAAATAACAAATATTTATCTAGCTATAAAGAAGCAGCAAAAAAAACCAATTTTTTCTTTTTGACTGATTCATACTGAGCAATGCTTTTCTTTCTCGACTTACTGTTATCATCATTATTACGGAATTATTACTTTTCCGATAAAGCTAAGCTAAGATAAAGCTTTTCTCTTAAGTGCTTTGTATTCTTCTGCAAGGCGATGTGGTTAGATGAAATTCCCATCGTTCACTCAAAAATCTCGACTCTCTCGCCTTATTCGAGGTCTGAAAAAAATTGAAGTTTCCGATTCATAGGGTGCCCCATGAAATATTGCAACACATTGAGGTTCAACTATGTGGATGTCTTTACATTTTTCTGAGGCCGGCGGACCTTTACATCCTATAACTCTTGTGAATCACGTTGCCCAATTCCATGGCTTACCTGTTCGGTCTACATCTCATGGTGCACATTAAGCTCAATAGAAGACTCATCATCTCATCCAGCTAGGTCGGACATCCGGTAATCGGCGTTGGTTTTTTTTTCTGTAATTTTTCACCGCTCCGTGGCTTATCATGCACTGAAAAGATATCAAGTAGAAGTTATCTTCTTTGCCCGTTCTGTCTTCTGGATCTCAGGAAAAGTATGAAGAAGCAGAGCGACCACTTTACCCGGGTAAGTTTGAGAAAGGTGCCCAGAACGCTAAAGCTCCTAGACACAACCATGTGGAGAATGGCCAACTGCTTGTCATCTGCTTACACCCCGTTATAAGTTGCATCAGCGCCACGACTCAACTGAATCAGAGGAGTACAACAGCGGCAAAAAGGGTGAAGAGCTGGTGCCAAGGGTCGAAAAAGGCCGACTACATACATGGGAACTTTTTAATACCGATGAGGAAACTCCCACTGTTGAGCGAAGCTACAGTCTCTCCATTTCGAGGGTGCTCGCATGTGGTTTCAAGGAAGCCAATGAAAGGGAAAGCATTTCTCTCTGTTAGCAGCAGCCAGTCCTTATCGTGTTCTAGGCAGGGGTCTCAACTACGGGTCGCTCACCACCACTGTCTGTTGAAACGGGGTAAAACTCCATATCGAGATCTAGCTAGCGGATGTTTCAGTGCATCATCTGTTACTCTGGTATCTGGCTGATCCGAAGAGGGATAGTGTTCTTTTCAATAAGACGTGTAGCTTCTGCATAGAGGAGTAAAATGACCCGGACTGGTTTCAATGTTTACGCTCTTCCAGTGTTTTCAACACCTCATCATGACTCTGAGACCATTTGATTGAAAAGGGCTAGGCCATCGCTTGTGAGTTGTACATGGGGACATAGTCTGCACTTAACAATTCACCCACACAAAGGAGCTTAAGCCTTTTCTGTGCAAAGGCTCAGAAGACAACATCCCGGGATGCCCACGTGAACAACAGTGGATTGTATCCGATCGTCTGCAAACGGTGTGCATTGAAGCGCCTATAATTACTGCTCAATAAGAAAGCAAACAAGTCAAGAACCAACTTGCTTCGGGAGCTGCGTGGTGATGGGCTCGATTATGAAGCACTATTACGCATTTGAGATGGTCCCACTGTTAACAGTGATCATAGGAATTGAGAGAGGTGAAATGCCACAAAGCGAAGTATCGAATACATGCCGAGCATGCTTTCCCAACGGAATACTGCGACAGGCCATCCCTGTCAGGATATATGCGCCTCCGATTATCCGATTTTAGAAAAAATTAGGCGTTACGTACTTCTCAGCTGTTCGGCCGTGTCATTGGGTGTTTTGGAAAAAAGAATCGTGAAGCATAAATTACAGCACTGCAGCCCATGCAGCTGACTTACAGGAGGATCACGATAAAAACGAAAGTCAAAGAAGAGGAAGATTGCATAGTTGGGAGACGGGCGGACCTCCTTGAAGGAG